AAACTATTTTATTTCGGCGTATCAGGACGAGGTATCTGTACTGAACTATGTTGATGGGGTACGTTGCGCATATAGTCAATGTGATTCCAGTTCTATCACCATAAATATTGTTGACGATACAAAGCTGAAAATAGCCGTAAGGCGGCTAAAACCGAGATCGTCGGGTGGTCCCGATGGTATCCCTGTTTTTTTAGCAAAGGACTGCATATCCGCTTTTGAGAGTCCGCTCCTGTACCTTTTTAACTTGTCACTGACTCACTCTAAGTACCCAGATATTTGAAAAATTTCTAGGGTCACGCCGATTCCAAAAACTGCTGGTGAAAACGACGTTTCGTCTTTTAGACCGATTGCAGTTTTACCAGTTTTTGCAAAATTATTTGAGATTGCCTTATGCCAGCAAATTAATAAACAAACTCAGAATTTATTGCATGATAGTCAACACGGTTTTCGAACAGACCATTCTACCGATTCTGTCGGCGACCATTAGCCACGTGTCATCGGCGTACATATAGGTGGAAGAATGATTTACAACGTTATTAATGCTATTCACGTGCATAATGTAACCGACAGGTCCGAATACGGAGCTGGTTGGCACACCAAGTGTTACATCAGCTTCTTCCCCAATCGTACCATTGATCATAGTACGTAGTTTTCGGTACTTCAAGTAATTGCGGAACCATTTGTGCATTGGACCTCTAATCCCACACTCTTCCATTGCTTCAAGAAGCATTTCGTGATCCAACGTATCGAACGCTTTTTAAAATCAATGAACAATACAATGACATAATTTTTACTGTTTAGTTTATCGTTAACATCATCGGTAAATCGTGCCAGTGCTGTAGATGTATTGTACGTTTTTCTAAACCGATGCTGTGCTTTAGATATTATATATTTTTTTCCAGAAACATACTAATTTGCTTAACTGTTATTTTTTCAACTACTTTATTTATGACTGACAATATAGCAATGGGCGTGTAATTGGAATATTCTTAATGATTACCTTGTTTAAATATTGGATGAATAATTGCATTTTTTAAGGAATTTGATATACACCGCTTTGTACACACATATTCACAAATTTCGCAAGCAATGGGCTGATCTCTTTCTCTACATACTTAAATCTTTTACTCTTATTTCATCTATACCCGTTGATTTATTATGGCATAATTTATATATAATTTTTTCAATTTCGTTCGATGATAATTCTTGGTAACGGAAAAAAACGTTACTAGGATCCACATAAGTGGTACGATCGATAAATTTACAATCACAGCAATATTTTTGTACACGCCTCTAGCTGCCCCAACAAAGGTCGACCATACAGGGGCCCATACAGCTGTAGATTCGACGAGCAGCAGGGGACGGGGCCCAACGGCCTATGGACAATTGACCTACACAATAGAGATAAGGCTAGGTAAATAAATAGTACGTACCTGGTTAAGAAGCTAAGACCGCCCCAAGGCTCGGTCAGGCCGTAGGTAGGTGTAGGTGCATGTAAGTGGTGTTTAGTAGTGTTAATTCATGTGGCCTGAACTAACTGAGGTGATCGGGCAGGGGCCTGGTCCCAAGCTGCCCCACAATGCTGCATCACTCCAGCAGGCGTCACCAAATGACAACTTCTTTCTTCATTTCACTATTTCAGTCTATCAACTTTATTGTACATTTAACTAACTTCAAACTCAAATAAATTCCCGTTAATTGTAATCAAAACGTAACACACGGCACAACAAATAAACAATTTTAGCGTTTTAACCGACACGGGAAAAGATCTCCGAGTTACATCCAATGCCACAAAGCAACTACTCGACGCTAAGTATTATTGTCAAGCACTTCAATCGGCAATCACTATACAATTTACGTAAATTACTTGCCAACGCATTTAGGTTAATCAATCAAATTATTACTGCTTCGTCATCGCGTGAACGCACTAAGATAACCAAACTAGAAGCGAAAACTCCAATAGTAAATTCCATACGCATCAAAAAACCGGACGTTGGTCGCAATCAATATTAAATTCCAAATAATTAATCGACCCGGCGTCTATTTTTCTAGACTCAACTAACTCAAAAGCGAATTAAACGCGCACAAATACTAAAAATCTAGACTATAAAACCAAAATTGGTCACGAACCAAAATTGGTCACGCGAAATCGCTGCAGCGATCACTACTAAATACCTTAATCGACCGCACCGCTGCTCTCAAGCCACTGTAATACTACGACCCTGCCGCCGTTGGCGACAAAAAACTGCCCGATCTCCCACTTGTCCGGCGCGTGAGCGGGGAGGCGCGCGTGAGCCGCGTACCAGCCGGTGCCAGGTACATCGGAGGAGCGCGCCGACGCGCCCCGTTATGTTGTTTTTAAATTTTAGCGTTTGGCGCAAACAGTTTTATTTTATCAATTTCCTCCGTTAGTGATTTAGCAAAATTTGAGCATTTAGTCACTGTATCTGTTTTACCTAAATATTTCATAATAACCGTGTCTAAATTGTTATTATTATTTCCTAACCAAGCATTGATAATTGCCCAGATCTTCCTACAGTCTCCTTTACAATTCAATATTTCGTTTTTCCTAGTTTTGTTTTTTTGCTAAATTTATTAATTTATTTTTTCTGTTTCTGTACCGCTTGTGTTCTAGCCTATAATTCATATTTTTGGGATTAGCCCGCCACTTCCTAAACAAATAATCTCTTCGGTCTATCATCATTTTTAAGTATGAAAAAAAAAATAGAAAAATTAATCCATGGCCGTGCTACTCGTTTATTTTTGCTTAATTTTATAGTTATTATGGACTCCTTATAAATATTTTTAAACAACATACGTAATCTATCGTAAAGTAATAACGGGATGTTAAGTATTAATAAATTATTCCAATGTATCGTTTTTAATTTTTCTTTAAGTAATATATCGTTTAAAACATTCATATAATTATCACTATCGCACTTCGTTTCGTATGCATCGAACGCTAAATTAACTCCTACCATATAGTGATCCGACAACTTACACGTGAGCATGTGTGCGTTAGCGCGCGTTCGGCTACGCACCCAGACATGATCGATACATGACGCAGTTAAAACACCGCCGTACACTTCTTCTCTTGTATATTCATTGATAACGCATTGCAGTCCTCGTTCACATAACATGTTTTTATAATTTTCCACGATGCTGCTGTTTTCCATTATATTTATATTTGTGTCCCCAGTGATGATGACATCGTAAACACGATGTCACGACGTAGTAGTCTTAACTATACGACGTAATACTCGTAATTCTTCTATAAAATATAGTATATTGGTATTAGGTGGTCTATATAATGCTATGATGTGAATGTCTCTTGTTGATGATTTTATTAAGCAATGTAATATTTTTGTATCATGCTTTCGTATATAATTACATTTTTCTATATTTAATTCATTTTTACTATATATTAACAATCCACCACCTCGACATTTTTCTCTAGTACATTCAAAGATCTCATAGGTGGATAACTATTTGGTATAACGTTATTTCTTTTCGTTTAACATTCATTTCACTTAATAATATAATATCTATCTTGTATTCGTAACTTTTTAATAGTATTAACAATTCATTATAGTTCTTTCTTAATGATCTAATATTTAAATGTATTATTCGCAATTCATTAACTGGTTTCTTCATATACATACTCCATTTATCTATGTCCGTAAATTTTACGTATTCTATATTATTTTAAATATAAGACAATCCCACCAAAAACATTCTGTAAAAAACTAGCCAAGTCTCGATGGAGCTGCTTGTTTATCTCTAAAAAGTAATGAAATCTAGGCAAAGTCGTGCCAAGTCTAAGGTTCCTTACTGCGATTTCTTTATTATTATAGTTAATGTTGTGTGACTTGGCCGTTGAAGGGTACACAAGGGTACAAAACCAGGTGCTACATGACACCCTTGCACCAATCTGCCGCCAGAACCGCTACCCATTGACGATGGAAAATTCCCACTTGGAAAACGTTGATTGAATAACCAGTCAATTGTAGGCTTGATAAAGTTGCGTTTACACGTAATGTTGCACGTAATTGTGTTTACACGTAATGTTATATCTGTTGTAACTACCTATGTTTGTTAAGCGAGATAATAGCCCATACTGGTATTGGTAATTGGACGCTAGTGTCTCATTTTAGGCGGTTGTTGATTGTGCAACACATGCATTCAGCATTGACAATGCTGACTTCTGCTCTCTTCTTTTTGGAGCGTCAAATCCACCACCGATCTAACATAAAATAGACGTACAGACGGACTTCTATCAACGATTCGACGTTCGCCTGTACTGGAAATAATTTTTTATACTGTTTGTTTCAGGCTCGCCTATACAAAAGTATTATTGAAATACGCAACTTTATCAAGCCTACAATTGACTGGTTATTCAATCAACGTTTTCCAAGTGGGAATTTTCCATCGTCAATGGGTGGGGGTTCTGGCGGCAGATTGGTGCAAGGGTGTCATGTAGCACCTGGTTTTGTACCCTTGTGTACCCTTCAACGGCCAAGTCACACAACATTAACTATAATAATAAAGAAATCGCAGTAAGGAACCTTAGACTTGGCACGACTTTGCCTAGATTTCATTACTTTTTAGAGATAAACAAGCAGCTCCATCGAGACTTGGCTAGTTTTTTACAGAATGTTTTTGGTGGGATTTCACTGCTTTTTGTAGAAACGTGGACACATTGATTTATATTATTAGATTTTCTTATTTGACACATTTTTTTATCTTTTTAGGTGTAGTTTTTTTATTATTACAATTCTTTCTTTTCTTTTTTTCCGGTTCTAATTCTTGCACAGTAGCAACAGTTTTTCGTATTGCCCAATCGCGTTCATTATTTATACTTTTAGACGGTTTAGATGGTTTAATTTCTAAAAGATCGGCGCGGTATTTACGCCTAAGCCGGTTGTATTCGGTGATTGCTGAAGCTTGAGCTTTTATACTCTTGAAGTCAACATTTATGAGGTGCACCCCATGAAGATTGGTTACTCGTGAAAGCGCCACGTAGGCTTGGTCACAAGTGAATATGGAGGTGCCAATGTCCATGAGGGCATTTTTAGACTTAGACCTTGGCTCTTGTGACTTGTTAGGGCATACGCCACACAGATTGGGAATTGTTCTCTGTACACGTATGCCCGGGGTATGATCTCAAATTTTGACTTAATAGGCAATAATTCGTGAATCAAATTATTAGCGAATTTGACTACCAATTGTTTAGGCTTTGTTCGGTCTTCCGGGTCCCACCTCACTTTTTGTACAACGCCTATCGATCCATTCACTAAACCTAAACTAACATCAATATTTCTCCTAAGCATTACTTTAGCTCCCTCTTTAATAACTATAGTTTCTTCCAGTCCAGCAGTCATCGACGCATCATCTTCATATTTTTGTAAACACGCCCGAGCTTTCGTTATCATACATTTTGAACAATCCAAGGAATCTTTAGCAACTAACTTCATCTCGGGGTGCGGAATCGCTTTTAACATTGCATCATTTAACTGCATACACATATTTCTAGTCGGTAGTAAACAAACAATATCTTCTGGTAAGTCCCTCAAACATTGTGCTATTTCCATTAACCTTCCTTTATTGGAATGCGAGAGCAGAGGTATCAATCGGTTAGACAGTATATCTCTGTCTGATTGAGTTGTCACTCCTACTCTGATTCTTTTTAACATTTCTACAAATGTAGAATCATCCAGCTGTCTCATATTCAACGTAAGTTCGTCGTAAGTAAAAAGTTCAGCCCATAAGTTTGGAATACTTAAGGAGCCTATAAGTTTATTAATTTCTGAAGGGGTTAGTTTTTCAAATGGCGACTTTTCTCTAACGGGTGGAAGTTGCAAAAGATCCCCAAGCACTAAAATATGTTTTTTCCAAACCAACCATCTTCTACATCAGAAGTATCAAACACTTCGCATAAACGAAGATTTATGTAGGCTAAAGTTACATTAGATATCATAGACACTTCATCTATAATAAATAATTCGACAGTTTTTAAGTCTGTCCTTAAAACTTGAAGTACTTCGTCTGAAAGCGGTTTGTATTTAGGAGTTTGTTTATGCTCTACGGGCAGTTGTAGTAATCTGTGAACAGTTTATCCGTTTACGTTAAATGCTGCAATTCCAGTCGGGGCAATAATAGCAACATTTTTATCATGCTATTGTATCTTCTAAGAAATTTCACTGATGGTTAAACTACCGCCACCTAGTCATTGATTTATGAAACACTTAATACTTTTTTATTTATAGCGGCTCCGTAATCTTGCATTTTTAGCTGCTTTACGTAAATCAATCAAGATAGTGTGGCCGCCACAAAAAAATCAAGCATTATCAGTAATAATTCTAATGATAGGTGTAAAGGAAATTGTAAAAAGGAAATCATGTGTTATTAAGCAAATTATTGTTATATGTTATTGCATATATTAACTACATTTAAAAAAAATATTGGTGTTACTAAACTTATTTATTTTTGATCATGAGGTTTATATTATACTCGTGACAATCTAAGAAGCCCGATTTGACAGCTATAAAAATACTTTGTGTATTGATGGGAAAAAATTGGTTGCTTTAAAAACCGATTCTCGAGATATATCTATTATTTAAAGTTTGTAATGGACAATGTAAGTACATAGTTTAAAATTGATTTTCAGGGCATATCGTTTTAATACATGATCGAGTGTGTAATATTTAACAGTTATTACATAAATCCAAACTAAGTTTAAATTTGGGCTAGTTTCAAAGCCAAGACATACTGATTTCTTCCGGAAGGTTTACGTATATCAGTGGCGTGCCTGCATAATATACAATGTATATTATGCAGGCACGCCACTGATATGCACTCGCACGAAGCCTAGGCGGGTCGCTAGTCAAGAATAAAATAAACATTAAATAAGTGTGGTTGGGTCAGTTAAATAAATAAATTCACTGAATTCGTAACATTTTTATTCATTTTCGTCTCTGGAAGCTCCAGAAAAATTATCATCAGTTGAACTGTCTTCATCGATTAACCTTATAATAAATTCACTTTCAATCAAATTGTCAACATGTACGTCTCTTCTAAAGTTTTCCGTTATAATTTTCTTTGTCCTTTCTACTAAATTGACCCAATCATCTTTTGTGACATGTGAACATGCTTCTTTAAGAAAACCAAGCGTTTTTTTTTTGTGGTGAATGAAGGTTTTGTATTTTGACGTGCACCATAGCCTGTAAAAGATTTAAAGTTATAATAACTACATTCTTTATTCTCTCGTGCAGTCAAACGGCTGGATAGGTTCTAATAAATATGCCATTCAATTAACTATAAAAATAGGACAGCAGTCAGCCGCTCTATTAGGCGAAATATATCTACTAATATTATAATGTTCCTGGATTATTTTTTTATAAACGTATATAAAATATATATTTATAAAACGTATGCAATCGTTCCTTTTAGATTAAAATATTTAAATACTAACCTTGAACTTGAGCCCAAATCATCTCTATAGCATTGTATTGACGATGGTATGGTGGGGTCCTTATAATTTTATGCCCATGTTCCTGTGCAAACTCATCGATGGCGTATTTTGGCCTCACAGGTTTCTTTTGTTTGACTAACAAACAAAATAAACCTGTGAGGCCAAAATAACTAATTTGAACAGTTCTGCTTTCAATAAATTCAAGTCAGCATCCACACCATGATTTTGTAGCCCTGTGTGTAGTGTGTGCAATCCATTATCTTCAGCCAGGAGGCCCGTACTTTTCCTTTGTAATATTTCGGATTGTTTTTATGCCAATTCCAAGCACTTGTGCGACTCGTTCGTGTACTTGGGTAACTTTTAAAAGAGGCCCTCTATTTGCTGACTCGTTCAAAGTACTCGTGCAACTTCAAAACCAAGTCACGAGACTGGCTGTTAAGAGTACGTCCTCTTTTGTACATGTTGTCTAGTTCACATGATAACACCAAAATCAGGTAATGCGTAATCAAAGTCCTGAACTAGCAAGCCAAGGTCAACGAGTATAGCAGAAACAGTCCAAGAGTGATAGCTGAGTCAGAAAATATAATAATAACCAATAACACAAAAATTTCCAAGATAGCGAGAGACCGCGCAAAGCATCGATGAATCAATGACTTAGAAGGAAAAAAATGGAGTTTAAAATACATTTTTTCAATATCAAAGGATGCACTCAGGCTTTTTTAGCCAAACTATTTCTAATATTAACATATTAAATATCAAAATAAAGCTAGAAATATATGGTCAGATATGTGGTCAGATTTTGTTTTTATATGTTTAAACATTAAATAATAAATTTCTTTCTTTTCTAAATGTAAAAGTATCGATTTTTCAGAACATCGATTTTATTTGGCCCAAAAACGGTTTATAACGGTCACAACACTACGGCAACGAATCCAAAAACATGTCATTGTAATAACGTTCTGTCGGAATATTAATCAACGATTAATTGGTGTTTTTGAGTGCATATTTCCAATATAAAGCGAAACTTGGTGCTTACGAATGATACTTATTGTTATACTATATGGATAACATAGTCCATTTAAGATTGTGAATTTGATTTTTCGACTTCTTACATAGACGTTCATACAAAGTTATCAGGACAAGTATAACGATAAACGTTGCTCGTTATTCGTACTTCTATATTCTAAAGAGAGAATATAAGAAATAAGAAATAAAAAAGAATATAAGAATAGATTGTCACGAATATAGAAGTAGTAATAGTAAGAAATAGAAGTTTTAACTTCGTTTCATTAGGCAACACTGAATGAAATTAAAAAAAAAATTATAAAGAAATATGTCCGTCGTCTTGTGCATGTGTTTATTTCTTGTGATTTAATATTTTTGAGTGTTTTATCGCTATTGTTTATGTATTTGCGTCGAGTTATGTATATGCGTCAAGAATGTGCTTTAAGGTAGACTTTGTAATTGGTGCAGTGACATAAATATAAAAAAAGAGTTATAAAATAATATGTTAATTTCAACTCTTTAATTTTTATGATGGTTTGTAGTTAGTTACTTTACATATGTGCAGACAACATGGAACTTTATAACATCTCACGTTTGTTAGAATTTTATTTTCAACATATCATTTAAAATTGTGAAATAAAAATAAAAATGTTAACAATACTAAAAATCTTTCTTTTTGTCCCGCATTTTATCGAAAGTATTTATGCAGATTTCTAAATAACAGTTTTTTTATTGTTATTTAGAAATCGACAAAATACTTAATAAAAATAACAATATTATAGTAGTATGTATACAGAACAGGTATATATAATATCTGTAGTTATGTATAGTTGCAGTAGTAGTTAATAAACTAGCTTCCAGGCGGCGCTGTTGTCACAGCAATTTTTTACGTTAGAGATTCTTATCTATTTCAGTATATACACTCTTATCTATGATTTTTATGCAGGTTGTTTTTAATCCATATTTTTAAGGTTTTTATTAAATAGCTCTTGCCGGTGCCACCGGTGCCACTAACAAAATGTCGCAATATTTCTTTTTTGTTCGTAATTTTATTAGTGACTGTATCAAATACTTTTTTTTTGATCAGAATTCAGTTTATCTATCATTGCTTGCTCATTCATTTCAGAAATATCCGCTTCAACTAAATCAAAGTTGTTTAAATCTTCCATAGCATTTACCGCTTCCAAAGCTTCAAACACTAAAGGATTGTCGGGGCCTTCATCTACTATGTTTTCCCTTTCTTCGTTTAGTTCTGCTACTTTTTCTTCTACCTTTTCAAAAGCTGTTTGTAAAATATTTCGTAATTCAGTCCGTAAATTTCCGTAGCGTAAACCTTCTTGTAAATCGTCCTTTACAGCATTAAATGTTTCTGTGTATGTCTCATGTTGCATTTTTAGGTCATCTAGTATTCTCCAAGGTTTAAATAATAACAACAAGGAAAAGAAATATTTTTCTGGCATTTGCTCTACATCATACAGGTAATGGTTAATTAGGTATGGTCTATCTCGTTTTTTTAAGTATTTTTTATTTGCTAAAACATAATACTCTACTTTATTTGAAACAGGCCGTGTATTAACTAAATCATAGTCTTTCGAAAAGTCAAATAGATTCATGTCTTGTAATTCGTCAGGTCTGGCAGGGTAAACGTTGTCTATCCAAGAATCGTAATATATGTCAGTGGAGTTCGGGTCCAGTCCAGTCATTTCAGATTTCGATTTAACCCTGCGATTACGATGAATGTTTACGTCTAACCATCTTATTGTTGTTTGTGGGTCCGTGCCGTAAAGTGGTATTCCCAATAATGTATCGCTGGCTTCTAAAGCTCCGCATTCTCGATTCGCTAATACTCTGAGACCAATATTATATAACCGGCTTCTAAGACTTTTTGTAGAGTTAATATCGTTAAACATGTCGGTTGCATGGGTCTTTTCACTTTTAGTAGTATACTTGGTCACATAATAGTTCAAAATGGCTGTTTTCTCTCCAACATATTGAATGTCAATATTTCCATTCCACGCCAACAGCAAAGCGGGATTGTAGTCATTAATCATATCTGACTCCTTCGAGCGGACAATATTGTAGAGCCGATTATTAGAGCTGAGAGTTTTTCTTGCCGCTATAGATTGAAAAATGTCTCTTATGATAAGAGAATCTGTCACAGTTCGAGGAAATCCAAAACGGCAAACTGAAACGATTTCTTTTTTCGTTTTCTTTCTCCTCATGCAATAACTGTTATGTTTATGCATTTGATACGAAGTGACCCGTTGATGTAAAGTAGGAGAAATATCTTTTTTTGGAATGGCACATGTCACGTATTTAGAAATAAATGACGCTACCTCGTCTATAGATGACTTATGTAGAATAGGTGCATCCTTAACCCATAACATTAAATGGAAGTGCTGAGCACCCCTAGATTGGTACTCTCGACGCCAAAAGTAATGAATAATCTTACCTAAAGGCTCATCTGAACTAGTTATTAAGTCTAACATTGCATGAAACTTGTTATCTATAATACGTGAGGTAGATACGGGGTCAAGAGCAACCAATTCACTGATTGTTTTATTAGCCATTTTAACGCCATTTACTTGCCTGATGTACTCTCCCAAATCCTCCCACATCCACTCAGAGGGACTCATGGTAAGAAACCAAGTTGCTGGACCGTAATTTTGAGTCATACAATTTACATCGTTTCTTGGTTTCTTCCAGAACTGTTCGGTGTTTCTCAGTCGGCCAAATATTGCGGTCAAATCACCTTCCAGCTCATCATTTTTAAGCATTTGGAGATACCGTTCTACCGTAATTTTATCTCTCTGATTAGCACAATTCATTTTATAAAAGATTCCGGAGTTTAATTGCCGCATATTAGCATCATTCAATAAGAAAAATAGATACTGTTAGTTGAGTCTAAATTGAGGATGTTTTGACATAAGCCGGGCTTTAATAAATTCACTAGAAGTTACTTTCTGCTCCCGATTATGAAATTGGCCGTATTTTCATTCTACATATAAATGTGGAAAACATTTAACGTCGAGGTCTTTATCTCGGGCATCAATCGGTGCTGTGTTTACTTTGAGCATTTGGTAGAGTTCTGAAGCTGGTGCATTTTGTCTCCGTTCATTCAAAGGATATATGGTGTAATGCTCATAATCAGTTTCCTTTTCTCTTGTGATTTGGGTCAACAGTGCTGCTGTACCATCTTCTAAAATGCCTTCTTCAGTATTATCTGGTGTATTTGTAACATTATGTTGAATATTTTCATGTATGTTTATGAGCTGGTTAGATTAATCTGTTAATTTGATATAAGCATAATGTTCGTTTACATTTTTGAGGTATTGTAATGCTTTGTACACTTTATTAACGTCAACAATGTCTTGCCATATAATATTTGCTTTGTTTGGCGTACTTCGGACTATAATATAAAGTTCTGGGTTTTCAATTATTGCGTCTTCAGGTTTTGGGAGTTTTTTTAGGGTTTCTTCCATCGGAAGTGGTAAATGAAAAGTCCTGCCCTTTACTTTTTTAACCATCTGACGATTGGGTAGACGTTTATTAGCCACAGGATTCATTGTAACAACCACCTGAAACGCTTTAGCGCGTTGGATTAAAATGTTTTCATAGTCGTTCAGCTGAGCTATTTCTGGTGGAACAGTGCTTACGTGCATGTCATTGAGGATACAGACAGCAGGCATTTGGTTAGCACGAATCTTAGCAAGGCATGTGTGGCATATGTACGGACTGTGAGTTATTAGGCTAGAAATATAGTAGTTCAGGAGCTGTTTCCAAACATCTGTTGATATGGGCTTTCTTAATCGTTCTATGGAACTAATATCCCTAGAGTAACAAAGTTTATTGCACGACATACAATCCAGTTTCGGTGTGTCTACACTTTTTTTGGAAAATAATTTAAAAGCAACCTTATTACTTTTTATTATTTCATCTTCCACGATTTCATTATCAGGTGTACGCTCTACAACGGCACTTCCTACCGTCGGTTGCTTTTCTAGCTCCATAAGCTTATCCACATTACCAGTTGCCAAAGAATTGTCAATATCAAGCAATAACTTACAATCGCTGTGTATTTGATAAATCTCTCTGATAATAGTCCGAAGATGTGGGAAATGCGATTTAACGTTATTAATAAAGTTGACATTTTCTTGCAGTTTTCCTGTTTCTACAGACATCGAGTAAATTTGCGAAGTAGTTTGGAGGCTCAATACTTCGAAAATGTTTTTCAATTTTAGTAAGATTCCATCATTTAATACGCACAATGAATCCGAACAAGACCATGTTAGACTTTTGGACATTTTCTTAATATTTGTAAAGGTTTTTGCTTTGCCAGTATCATCAATCTCAATAGGTTTTTCTTTATCTTCATAAACCTTATAAGCTTGTTCAGAATAAAATGGCTCCTGATTACTGCGATGTTCGGATTTACCAAGAAATGCTTCAAATTTGTCTTTAATATCCGTGCTTTCAGGACATATTTTTAACTTCTCTAATGCCGCTACTATTTTTTCTTTTAATTTATTTGCAGTCTTGTTCAAATCTTCTAAAGTTCTTTGCCTATTATGGAGAGTCCACTTAACTATTTTTTCTGATTCTAATCTATCTTTAAGTTTAGTTGTAAGAACTCTAGTGATTGTTTCTATGTTTCCCTTAAACTTTAGTTTGTCAGTAGATCTCTTTCGCGCTAAGTTTTGTCTGTTTACTTCCGGATGTGAAGCACGGTAGCGAGATACTGCAGCCTGATTGACTTCCGGATGTGAAGCACTGTAGCGTGCTACAGCTGCCCGGTTTACTTCAGGGTGTGAAGCACTGTACTGTGCTACAGATGCCCGGTTGGCGCCTGGATGTAAAGAATTATAAAGTTCTACGGTGTCTCGACGTTTTTCAGGGTGTTTTTGTCGGTAACGAGCCGCGGCTTCTCGAAGTTGTTCAGATCGTGACAGTTCGGATACCTTAGGTCTTCCTTTTTTTGTTTTAGTCGGTCTACCGCCTTTTCCCTTATGCTTCATGTTCAATTCACTTTGCGTGGAGTTTAAGTCATATAATGTACATATAGCGGTATCTGATGTTACAGAATTTAATGTTATGGGATGAAAGGGGGAAGAAGATGGAGAGGCATCTCGTATAGGAATGAGTACATCGTAGTGGCCGCTTAAGTAACTACCGGTAAAACGTAAACACTTTTTTTGGCCAGCATCGCCAAAGGAACCTCTTAGTATACCGTTCTCATACACTTCAAAAGTGAAAGGATAGATTTTTTCAGAAGCCATAAGCTCAGAAGCTGAGCCGTAAGTAGTGGGTTTCATCATATCGCTCATGTAGAATTGCGCGCTAGTGTATACGTCACCATCAGCATCACACGTGTACACTTGCATTTCGTCCCAATGGTCAGCAACGTATGCAACTATAGCAGATCTGATACTGCAAGTTGAGTCAGTTCTACCATACACCAAGAAAGATATTGAATGGAAGAAACAAGACCCATCTTTGGGCATACCAACTACTTGGTAGCCACTAAGTTCACCGTCGTCTTTTAATATTATCGACATTTTTTTACGATATTATCTTGCGAATCAAATAAACTCAACGACCTTTAGTATATGGACAACAAATCAGAAATACCGATAATATTTAGACTAATTTAGACTAAAACAATAAAAACCTATATCTTTAAGACTTCTTTTGTCTTAATACAAAAAAGAAAACTCAAAGAAAATATTACTCGGTCTACTCATCTATAAACTATAAACAAAGGGTTAACTCTTAATTATTAGACAAGTGTCAATATAATGAATTATCAATGAACTTTCTACCAAAGATATTACCTCTACCGAAACGAAGTAATATCTAACTAAATAGACTTAACCTATAATACTAGAAAAGTACTTACTTACTATAAGGTTATCGCAAAAACAAAACATCGGCGCGTTTTAAAATACAGTCAGCGCCATCTAGCGACGTGTGCAGGTATCACCGCCACTCTTAGTTCAATGCATTATATTTTGACCATTAAAATACAGTCAGCGCCATCTAGCGACGTGTGCAGGTATCACCGCCACTCTTAATTCAATGCATTATATTTTGACCAAATTTTGAGCGAAATGAGTATTTTAGTGTAATTTGTTTATTTAATTTGATTAATGTTCGAATAGAATAAAGTTAATCGTTCGATTATTTTTTCTTGTAAACTTGTAAGTATAAGTATAAAAGCCAGTCTAGTGTCATCCAGAGTTTTCCTTTAATTTTATTTATATGCGTATTAAAAGCAGAAGGGGAGGCATTCGCCCAGCAGTGGGACGCTATAGGCTAGATTAAATTAGAAGATGTGTCCCACTACGCTGGATTTTTGCAATGACAGTAGATTTTTTTTATGTACTAATGGTAGAAGGGGGCATTACCATATCTCTAATACAGCTGAGACCAGCTGAAGGTTTTTCATCAGATACTTTAGACCTATCAAATAAAGCGGCCTACCAAGTTAAATATATTTTGCAAGGGCGGTATGTCGATCTCATCTAATAGTTTGGTTGGGCTCTTGTGTTTTCTAATCAGGGTCACCAGGTACTCCAGATCTTCGATTGTCCTAGTTTTTATAGTTTTCCCTTTATGTGGCCATTAAACCCTAATTCTGTACCAAATTTCAGCTCTCTGAGTTTATGGGAAGTACTAGTTCTATTCTGATGATCATGAGTGAGTGAGTGTCATAAATGCGAAACTTTGCTTTCGCTTAACTTCGGAACTAAATGACCTACAGACTTGAAATTTTGGATTTTAAGTATGTGATTATAGCTTACTGGATGACGAAAATTTCTGCGTTCTGGTCTTATCCGGAGGTTCTCAAATAGAGGCCTGAAAATGCGGCGAAACGGTTCCAGTAAAGGATGGTACGGCAGTGTTTGCTTCGCGCTCGACTTGGCGGGGGCACTGCCGTGCCCCCCGATATATCGTTGAATTTTATTTGAGTTAAAAATCACGTAGTGTAGTCTCACACAATATTAAATATTTGTGTTGTTGTTATTCCTCGTTACAGGCTTTATTTAGCTTTTGTATGTCTACATCTGATCGTATTTTATTATATATATTTTTGCATTATCCTCCTTTTTAACAAAAATTTGAAGGTTCTGCATCCATATATATTTATATTTTCCCTTTAATAGTGTTTTAGTATTCCAAAACAACTGCTTCATCTGTTTAGTTAAACATTCATTTATATACACGTTTACTGCTATTATTTTGCAGTATATTATTGTTACACAATTGATGTCTTTTTCGTGCAATCCATTCATTTCTGTTTATCTTCGCACGGAACGTCACGATAATAGATCGCGGGTGATTTTCATTTTGTTTTTCTCAACCTACCCTCAGCGTTTAAATTTAATTTTTTAGCAATTAAACGCACAATCTGATTTGTATCTTCATCTTTTTTATTCTCTAAACCTATTATTTCTATATTTTTTTCAACTTCTTTTAGTTCCATATAAGCTACCCTTTACTCTAACGATTCATTAACTTTTTTCAGATAAACGTTTTTATTTTCTATATCTTTTATCTTTTTTCAGCGATTTCCTTGAATTGCAACATTTTTTGTTTTGGTACTGTTCCGCATAAAAATCGACAGCCTCTGTTAATTCTTTTATTTTATTTTTCATCTGATAGATTATTTCTAATTTATTGTTAACTTCTGTTAATGCGGATTCTGCCGTAGCTTTACTGACAACTTGTATGTTTATCTTGGTCTGTTGCATTCTCGGCCTGTTATCAGTCTTGAAACTGTTGGAACTGTTTAATATTTAGGCACTTTTTTTGTAAGATCTTTCACAAT